ACACACACACACACACACACACACACACACATATATATATATATATATATATATTATATTTATATGTATATATATATGTATCGTGTATGCTGTTGTGTGAGCTGTTTCTGTACGTATCCAAGCGGTCGAAGCTGTTTGCTGTTTGTTTGGGTACGTACATCTGACATGTACGTGCTGATTAGGATTAATATATATTTCAACATACATAAAATAATACACATATTCTTAACGTACACCTGTTGACACACGCCTATTCTCGGCTGACACAATTTATGGGTTGTTTATCTCTACTTTGTGCAGTATATATACAGCGATGGATCTGCCTCTGGAAGCTTTGCGAAGCCATTCTACTTAACGTATTTTAACACGGCCATGTTCTCCGTGTACTTGCTTGGTTTCTTTCGTCAGTCTTGGCGTGATCAGATACCTACTCGTAATCAATTCAGGTGCGATGTTGTATTGAATGTCTCTGATTGATTCCGAGTTGCATCCCAATTTCAATCATGCCAAGATGTCGATTTATTGACAGATTGAGATGATTGTTTAAACTATATACCCGATCGAGATATGCAGGCTAGTGATCTAGTATATCTAGTTGGTACATGATGCATGCATACTGATTTTTCAGCGAGATAGCCCTATGGCAGTTCTAGTTTAATATGCAACTCCTGTCGCTAGCATGGGAGTCAATGAGACCAGGCTGCAAAAGCAAATGACCGGGTTTCCAATTGGCAGCACACGAACAATTATCCACTTTTTTTATTGTATGGTCACGAAACTGGGAAGAACGATCCAACCATTTATCACAAGTAGGGTACTCAAATTACGTTCGCATAAGTGTAATCTATTGGAATGTATGCTGAGGTGTCTTAATGTTACTGGTATGACAGTATTCGCTCAAGATATGAATTAGATGCCTAGAATGTTTGCTTGTAAAAATGATCAACGATCGAGTTTTATGTGCCATTGTTTCCTATGAGCTCGCAAGCTAGTGTGCCGTCTATTCTTCATACTTGAATGCGGAACCTGCAGTTGTATGATCTGTAGGTTTAGCGCGTGTGACACACACACATTAACAATTTCAGTACCATCACAAATGTAGAAACTAACTTATTCATTGAACTTTCACCACGACACACAGAAAGTACATCAGCGAGCACGTCTGCAGTTGTTTCAAGAGTAGTCGCGCCCACAGCTCGACCGCTTCTAGCAGTGACAACATCCATCTTATGCAAGATGAGGATAGGGTATGAGCGTGCAATATAATAATTAAGTTTGTGTATTTTGGCATAATCTCGATAGGACCAGTATTCGGGCGTCGACCATTGTAGTCGGCTCATCTATATGGTTGAGTATACTGAATGGGTGCTCTATTTAGATGAGTGGTATACTGAATAGGGCTTTCAAGTCTCGTTAGAAGCTTGGTTATTTGGTATAGAACGGTATGCAGTATTTCTAAACTAAATCACTCTTGTTAAACCGAATAGGACATAGATGCAGAAGATGAATTGCTTACGGCATCACCGGATACAGAGTCGTCGGTCAATTTCAACAGCATAGCTTGTGCGACTGACGAGATCAAAGGAGAAACTTCACTCGTGCCAATGACATTCATGGAGGTGGGTTATCAGTTATACTCGTTACGAGCACATTCATCGCATACGCAATATGCTCATTTTTGATTATGTGCAAGATTATTTAGCTATAATATATATATATATGTATATATATATATATATATACATGCACACACACACACATGGATAGATACATACGCGTACATAAAAGCACAA